GTCGGTGTGGGAATTCATTTTGTGATCTGCGTCTGCTTTTAATTATGTAATTGTTGAAGTCATTTGAATACAGATAATTACATTCCTACCTACCACATATATATAAAACTTGTGTTTCTGTCGTTTAACCTAAAACTAAGTATGTGGAACCAAGCTATTAAGCGTGCCCCCAACTGAAACACCTGAAACCCCATGAAACATGCGAGTGCCAGGCCTCTATCTGCGCAAGCCAATATGTACATATATACATATATAGATAAGAACCCATTAGATAACATTAATGTAGGTAAGTGGTGATGTTGGGGTGGGTTAGGATAGCGAATTTCAAGATAAGGGCAAAAAGCAGTGTCCGATTAAATATTTGTTATGCATTTATGAGGAATTTCTGCGATTTTCACTTCGAAACTATTTAGAAATAATAATACGACTACTCTACTACTTTTTAATGATTTATTTATATTTGTGTACTTTATTCTACTTAATTACAACGAAGAGAAGGAAGGTTGAAATATAGGTCAAGCAAGCTGGGCAAATACTGCTGGCCCGAGGCAACGTAAAACTCTTCTATATCTTCTACAACGACAGCCGAAAATTGTCCAAAATATGTAGATGTTATTATGAATAGCTTATATGAATAGCCTATACATGTGACCATAATGAAAAGAAATCACAACTTTATACTATATCTGAATGCGATGCAATTTCAATTTTAAAATATAGTGTCAATATTTATTTCGAATACAAATTTTAAAATTAAAACAATGGCTATGGTAATTCCTGAGATCCTTCCGTTTATATCGCTATAGCGACTTATCTTTTCACCTGATCAATAATATATATACTTACATTCGCACTAAACTAGTATACTCTTTCACACTTTTTGCACATCGTAAAATTAGTATGATGAGATAAGATGGTCAATTTTTGGGCTTAACAAACTCTATGGCATGGATTTTTTTATCATTCCTACAAATGGATCACTTATAGCATTTCCTTCGGTGTAATGTTATGAAGACGGATTTAACATTCCAATAAATCCCGATGCTCATTTAATATTGTTAAAGACAATATAAAACTATCTTGTTTGGAATAAGTTGACTTTCAAATTGGCTGCTCTACGTAATTCTTTTTCGTCATTTTTAGAAACAAACGAAATATGAAATCACAAAATAGTCGATTGATTACTGTACAAACCAAAATAGCGAAATTTTCTGAATCGATTTGATAATGTTTTCCACAAAGAAAACTGCAATGCGATAGTTTCACCTTCAGAGATATTAGAGGTAGACCCAACAAGAATAATTTCAGATAGATGCAATCTTATATTAATATACATATAATGTAATAGTTATTCAGCACCCAAATATATCTTGACTGACCATTATATTGAATTAATTACAGCTTAAACATTCATTATAAGGGCGTATTCCATGTATCAATAGAAGTGGAAATTATCCAAAGTTTCATCGTCAAGGAGTGAATCAATAAAACTATGAATAATATACCTACTATAAAACTATTGTGGTCTTTTTCATATGACTAATAACTAAATAAACCTACATACGAGTACAGTGAAAACTCTCTTAACCGGACAATCACCGCCCAAGGGGAGTGTCCGCTTAAGGGGATATACTTAAACACTTTTTACACCGATCGAATGTTTTAGAAAAAGTGTCCGCCGATCAGGTGTCGGTTTAGGAAGTTTTCACTATTTGTCTATCAGATCGATTTCTTCAGCATTTCTAAGTGGTGGCAATGGCTTATTCCTTGCCATATCTCTTTTTCAACTCCTTAATGTCATTTATTCCTCTTCAAGTGTTTTCATAAAAAAAGTAGTGGATTAATTGTTTCGACGCATCAACTCCTAGAAAGTGTTTTATGACATTCTACTTTTAAGAGCTTTTCACCGCACACTTGGTGAACATTTGTGAACAGGCATGAGGTGGGGTTAGAGAGGATTAAGGTATTTAAACGACCAAGTGTGTGCAGCTAACAAGTAAACATCATTACTGTAATCATAACAATCAGCCTGATTGCCATTGCTGTGCCATTGTTGTTGGCAGCACTTAGTTGTGAGCCAGCTTGGGTCGACGCTTAGACTGGACCTATGCAAATAGCAAACACTTGGACCGCGCAATCAATGTGTGTGGCTTTGGTTTGTCGTTTGTCAATGCAACTCAATTAGAATAGCTGTTGCTGTGCGGTGTAACTGTCAATGAACTTTGAACAACAGACACACACACACATAGCACTTGAACCCATAAATCAGCGGAGCCAACAAAACAGGCAACTAAGAGACCAAACGACCGGGCAACCAACCAAACAACCTTTTGTGGGGCAGGCTGGCAAATGGAACGACCGCGGCCCCGACCGCGACCGCGACACTTATCAAAATGTGCCGTTGCCGCCATTGGTTGTTCTCGTTGTTGTAGTTGTTGTAGTTGTTTTAGTTGTTGTTGTCGCATCGTCGCATCGTGCGCTGCGTGTGCAGCACACCACGAAGGGCAGCTGCACACGCAAACAGCTGCTCCAACAGCGACCGACAGTGAGACCGATAGACGGACGGACGGACGGACAGACGGACGGACAAACAAATGAGCAGTAGATAGAGAAGCGGACTATGGACAGTTCACATGTCGTTTGCCAAGTGCCAATTATAGTCAAAGCCTCCAAATCACTTAATACCCTATACCAGAAGTAACCTCTGCCCCTTAATGTAATACACTGCAATCCAAAAACAAAACAAAATCCATCATCAGAGTGACGTCAAAGAAGATTAATTATGAAAACGATGAGCAATCATTTGAACGCATTGGAAACAGAAGCATTTCAGAGAAATCAGAATCATAATTCTACTCTACTCTATACTCTAGTAACTAGAGTCTAGTCTGTAGTTGTATTTTGACTTCTTTAGGTAGACATCCATAAAAACTCATTCATTTTCAATTGGTTCTGGCTTTAAACAGTCCCATACATTTAAGCTGTTATTCTTTTAAACACATTTTTAATAGTTCTTTTATTTATTTGTTTTATTTGTGTTTAACTATTTCCGCAATTGAAGGTGTGCTTTGTTTTTGGCCTTAAAACGCGTTTCGCTTGTGATTATATAGAAGTTGTAAATCGTTCCGCCAACAAACTGGCTTACGACTTTATATCACAACGAGACTTCTTAATAATTGACTTATACATGATAATTAAGGTGCTAAGCTTGATTCAGGAATTTAATATTAAATCTATTTTTAATTGATCCGATCTTTCAGAATTCCGAATTTGGTCTTAAAGTTCTGTATTTCATTGTTATTTCCCGATAATATATACAAGTATACTCGTATACCTCTACATAAAAGACATGCTTCTGAAAATGTATTTCAGAATTATAAAATTTAGATATGGTTAAACAACTTTAAGGTTTTATCATGCAAATAATAACTTGAAGTATTCAATGTGTTGTATATTGAGAATGCAACAATTTGTAAGGGTATTATTACTTCGCTTAGGTCCACGAATTACGTCTTGTCTTGTTAATCTATCTCTCTCCTCTTGTTTGTCTCGTATGAGTCATTCAAGATGCTGCCAACTTTTGTATTATTTTATAAGCCAGCTAAATCCGAAACCATATCTTATGCAAGCGACGAGTTCGAGTGCTCTTTACATGACATGTGACTTATGGATGTATGCGCAAATGGATGGACGGATGGATAGATTGATGGGAGTGGGCAACTGGGGCTGTGTACCACCAGTACGTGACTTATGTCTTGGAAAATTACTTAGCACCCGACGACTGTACGGTCTCGGGCTGGGCGATATACTTGTAGAGCGTTAAAAAATGGCACTCTTGAAGTTTATCAACAACTACAAAAAAATTCCAATTTAAAATCGCGCGAATAACGCTAGCTTTGTAGCGATTATGTCAAAGCACAGCATGGCCGGTCTAACTACGAGTGGAGGCATATGCTATCATGTACTTAGTATATGTATGTGTGTACATATGCTATACTATGTACTTGTAGTATTATTACATTGGCAATTGTTGCTCAAACGGCGGAAATGTGTAACGTGTTGTTTGTCGGTGCACCGATTTTGCCGCCGCCTATGCCGGCCAAGGCACGTACCAGCAGCATTGATTATGGATTGCGTTGTGACTTAATCGCACACTATTCGCAAGTGTTGCCAGCAAGAGATTTCGACATGCAACGACATGATGGGTGGGACGGGGGAAGGGGCTATGAAAGGGGTTCGCCAAATGTAAATCGAGCTAGTGCGCTTGCAGAAGAAAGCGAGGCACAAAATTCTACGAAGTGAGTACCAGATTGACCTCCCGCTCCCCCAGCCCACCATATGTGATCGGCATTCTTGCATGTGCTTCATAAAATCACGAGGCGTATCGAATGAAATATGCTGACCAGTTGCCCAGAAATATTGAATAAATAGAGACGATTGTTCTGTTTTGTTAAAACCTGAAACCATTTTCCAAACTTAAATACTAACTACAACTATTTGCAATTCGAATGTTAAATAAGAGGCAACCTCCATGAAATTGTGGAGTTCACTTACTATTTGATTCACTCAATACGCGATTTACAAATGGTCTCGTGCATGCATTTAATTGGGGCTTCTTACTTGTAGTGTATTTAAATTATAGATGTATTTTATAACACATTTATGGCTTGTGACTGCAACTGTTCCGGGGAGGTAATCGTGGAGCGATTCATTCATTTGTCGCGGCCGTCGCAGCGCTCGACTGCTAGCCATGAGTTTTAAAGCGTATCTCTTTTCATTGAACCGAGAGCAATAATAATAACTCCCGACTGATAACCATAATCATAACCCAGATCGTTGAGTTACTATAATATTATGCAGGGCCTTGAACTGGAGGCCACATACACGTACACTCTCACACATATATACATAAGTAGCACATGTGTGTGTGTGTGTGCTCACTTCCACTTGACTATGATTAATTTCGGATTCGTCCGCTCTCTTCTCTGTGCTCGTTACAGATTAAAAACCTTGCCATTGTCGGTGGCGGGGAGGCCAGCGGCGGGGTTAGCGGATCAGACGTCGGCAGTCCACATCACAAGTTGCTCGATAATAATCCAAGCAGTGGCGGCGGCGCTGGCGGCGTCAAACTGCGCAAACATAGCGAACGTTGCCTGACGACGCCGGAAGCCAAGTCGCACACATACCGCATCTCAATGGCCAATCTAGAAGATACGCAGGAGTCCGAACTGGATCTAATTTTGGGCGAGCTAAGCTTGCTGGAGGCGCAGATTTGCTTCGGAGAAGCGACATTTTTGCCGGGAGTGGGCGTCGGGGCCGGCAGTGGTAATCCTGCTTCATCTGTTCATGCTAATATTGGCACGGGAGGTGGCGGTGGTGGTGGTGGTGGCGTTGGTGGCGGCGTGCACCAGGCGCCTACTGGTGTGCCACCGCCGGCCGCAATTTCCGTGTCGGCCGCCTCATCGCGCACCCATTCGCGCACAAACTCGAGCATATCTGGTGATGTAAATTCCAGTTGCTCCTCCTCCTCCTCCACGAGTATATCGTCGTCGGGTCTATTGGAGAATGGGCATGGCCATAACGGAGTGCAATTCGGTCTAACCATGGGCATGACCATGAGTGTCGGCATGCCACGCGAGCCACGCACCGAATCGCCCGATAATGATTCAGCATTCAGTGATACGGTCTCACTGCTGTCCAGCGAGTCGTCGGCCTCATCGAGCACTTCGTCGCAGCAGCAAAAGCTACAGCAGCAACAGCATCAACTGCAATATCTGCAGCACCCATATCCACATCAGCACCAGCTTCATCATCATCATCATCAGCAGCAGCAGCTCCAGCAGCAACAGCTGCCGGCGGCGGTGAATCAAATAATGGATAGTGCCAATAACATCTCGAAAGCAGCCAAAATTCAACTGGCCCTGCACAAGCTAGAGAGTGCACAAGTAAAGCGACTTTTTGTCAAAGCCTTCACAGCCGATGGGGCATCCAAATCATTGCTGGTCGACGAACGCATGACCTGCGGTCACGTGGGGCGTCTGTTGGCAGACAAAAATCACGTGCAGATGCAGCCTACCTGGGCGCTGGTCGAGAGTCTAGGCGATCTGCAAATGGGTAAGTGCATTAACAGTTATATGAAGCTGCAAAATGTTAGCTAATTGCTGAATTGAATCCTCCCCAGAGCGCCTCTTCGAAGATCATGAACTGCTTGTGGACAACTTAATGACCTGGAACTCGGATGCGGGCAATCGTGTTCTCTTTCAGCAGCGTCAGGATAAGGTAGCGCTCTTTGCCAGACCAGAATTGTATCTGCCGGGTCCGCAAATGGCACCCGGGTGTCAGCATGATGAGCACACGCGTCATATGCTGTTGGAGGAGTTCTTTGCGACGAACTCTCAGCTGCAGGTTGATGGGCCTCTTTACATGAAGGCCGACCCAAAGAAAGGCTGGAAACGCTATCACTTTGTGCTGCGTTCATCCGGTCTCTACTACTTCCCCAAGGAGAAGACGAAGAACACAAGGGACCTGGCCTGCCTGACGCTCTTCAACGGCCACAATGTCTACACAGGGCAAGGCTGGCGAAAGAAATGGAAATCGCCGACAGATTACACGTTCGGCTTCAAGTCCGCCGTTGACTCATCGCTGGGCAAATCGTGTCGCACGCTTAAAATGCTGTGTGCCGAAGATCTGGAGACCATGGAGAAATGGCTAACGGCCATTCGCATCTCCAAGTATGGCAAACAGCTGTGGGATAACCACAAGACGCTGCTCGAGGACCTTTGCCTGGGCGATGGTGTCTCGAACAACAGCTTTGCTGTCTCCATGCGCAGTGAGTCCATTAGCAGCATCTCGTCGGCGGTGCCCTCGCAATGCGGCAGTGTCTCCTCGGCTATTTCCAGCATGTCTAACTCGTCGAGCGGTCGTATCTCTCGTGCCTCCAGCTCTAGCTCCAGCGGTTGCCTCTCGGACGATAACAACGGCTTTGATTCGGAGTTCACTACGGGCACCATCAAGCGCAAACCCTCGATGAAACCCAATCTGCCGCTAACGACCATGACTCGTCAACTCAAGGAGGTGGGCGAGATCACCATTTGTGAGAGCAGTGGTGGCAGCAGTGGAGGAGCTACAGCGGATGCTACCTCGCCAGAGCGCGGCGGCACCCTCACACGTCGTCACAGCCGACGCAAATCTCAAGAGAGCAACGGTAGCGGAACACTGAAACGTCGTCCAGCCCCTGCTAATGTTGCCGCAGTGGTAAAACGGGACGTGGTTGATGGCAGCGGTGGTTCCTCTTCGTCATCCAATTCCACGCCTACGCCTACTCCCAGCATATGCGCCAAACCTTTGCTAGATCCCATGCCGGATGTCGTGTTGGGCAATGACCTGATGTGCTCCTCAACGCTGTCTTTGGACTCTCTGCCACCGCCACCGCCGCCAACGGCCTTTGTCCAGGATGAGCAGGACGTTTACGGGTCACAGTTATCGTTGGCATCGCTGCCGCCGCCGCCCCCACCAGAGGAGGTGCTGGCCTATGCCAGTAACCCTCCAGTTGCTACTCCTAGTACACCTACTGGCGGCATGCCCAACAGCAATGGCACGATGCCTCCGGCTGTGCCGGCCAAACCCATTAAGCCGGCGGTGAAGAATGCGTTGAAAGCGGCGCCACCCTACAAGGCTCCACCTGACTATGTGGGACCAGCGTTGAGTGGTAATCAGGCCATCGGCAGCATTTATGCAGCTGCGGCTCCTACGGTGCCTGCGCCAGTACAGAAAAAAGTATCATTTGCCGACTCTCCAGTACTGTTGCGACGGAAGATGTGCTCTCCAGAGCCGGTGGTGCCTGTGCGCTCCACAGGCATTACGCTCAGCAGCTACCAGCAGCAAGAGCAGCAACAGCCCTTCTATGCGCCTGGACCGATGCTGCCACCTCGCAGTGATCCGTCGCGTCTCTCTAGCAATAGCAGCGTCTCCGAGGTAACCTCGCCCAAGCGTCTGCAAGAGTCGGCCTCGAATCCACCGCGCGACTTCCTTAAGGATCTGCAGCGTGTAATGCGGAAGAAGTGGCAGGTGGCCCAAAAGTGCAAACTGGAGCCGGCGACTACGCCACACGAGGTGCTTGGCTTTCGTGACTTCAACAATGAGGATCTCCTGGCTGCACACAATCTGAACTCGGGCGCAAATTCCTCGCATTATTATCGAGAGACGGCGAACGTTAGTCACTGGGTGCAGGAGCATTATGGAGCGGGCGCGGCCCCGCCGCCACCACCCCCCAATGAGTTCGCCCTATACGAGAATGTGCATGCGCAGAGCAATGGAGGAGCGGGAGCAGGAGCAGGAGGAGGCGGTATGGCCAGTGGAGCAATTGAGCCCCAATATGTTACTGCAATGCAGCAGCAGCAGCAACATCAACAGGTGCCACATAATGCGGCGGCAGCTGCAGCAGCATTGCGCAAAAAGCGTCCACCACCGCCGCCACCCAAGCGCAGCGACTCCACACATTTAACGCATCGTGTCTAGGCGCTGTAAGTAGCTTATTCCTTAGCTTATATCGACTGTTCATAGTAATAGTTTCTCTATTATTTTGCAGTGCGCACTACTCTCCAATCTCTTATCTCTCGAAATTCTGTCTCCAATTGGATCTCTTGCTTCGATGGACGATTCGCACGATCCGAACACCTTTATATTTGTATGTTTAAAATTAAGTGCAAAATTCCTATATAAGTAGATCATCATCAAATCATATAACGTACAGAAACGAATTGCATAAAGCATATATGTACATGTATATGTCATGTGGCAGTCGAAACGATCGTTCTTGAGTATTATAACTGGATAGTTATGATGTTTTTTTTTTTGTATTTGTTTATAATGCCACTTATTTAAATTTTAGATTCGAATGCAACGTATTCGCAACTGTTTTTATTTTTATTATCAATTATCTTTAGGAGAGATTTCATTCATTGGCACATTACAATTGATATACAACATATTTATATGTTTTTAGTAAAATATTCAAAGATACATTTAGATGTTAATTACAAAAACGCAAGCAAACATCAATTAATTTTTTTCATACATGTAAAAACAATTTCAATGTAATTACAATTGCTATATAGTTACTAGCTGTTTATTTTGTTTTTTCCCCCTTATGGCGCTAAGTTAAACATTTCTCTGTATTGTACAATTTTTTTTTAATTTCAAATGTTTTGCATAGTACATTTTTTTTGAAGCGCATTTAATGCGTAATGCAAAACATAAAGAACATTGTTTAGAGTTACGTTGCGCTAAGCCAAAATGCAAGAAAGCCTTATATATTAATTTGAAAAACAAAAACAGAACAACAAAAAACAAAAACAAATAAAAGAAAATAAAAAGTACATATATATAATTGATAAAATTCATAAATTGATGAATGATGGAAGAATAACTTTTTTTGTGGTGAGCCGTTTGTACATTTAAAAGCAAAATAATATCTTTAGCTGCTTTGTGGTTTTACAGAAATATGTACTTATTGCAACCAAGACACATACACACACACACACAGATACATACATACACATAGCCATATAATGAATCTTAAATACAGCTTATACATTTATATACGAATATAGCTAGTTATATATTTAAATGAGGACGAATAACGAACTAGCAGGCGAAATTAGCGCAAAGGAATTTAATACACAAAACAAAAACTTTGTTTTCTACTTTTTGTAAGGCAATTTTGCAGGCGTTCCTAAATGTTTTTGTTTGTTTATGCGCAACAATCAAAATAAAAAAAACTACACACACACAACAACAACAAAAACAACACGAACATGTATAAGCACTGAACAATTAAAAGTAACATTGTAAGTGTTGTTACTGATTTGCCATGTTTCTTAATGTGCTTTTATTAAAAAGTAAATAAATTTGTAACAGCTTTTAAGCACACAACACCACACACACACACACACACACACACACACAGCAGCCATAAAAATTACACATGTTTTATACATACATATGGATTGTGTCAGCTATTTGTATCATTTGTATAGTTTATCCTTGTTGAGTTGAAGAGTGCAGTAATCAAAAGAAAACAAACACTGGGTAGAAGTTCAGGCAGTGGAGCTGTCAAGAATGTTGCCCCTAAATAATAAGTCCATTGAAATATATGTACCAGAGGCAATCGATTAGATGTTAATGATTTATTGTGTTAAAACCCTAACGTATTTGAGACAGTGTTTAGAGATCTTTCAGATAACTCAGTCACAGACTAACTGTGCTGTAAGAATGCTCTACAAGAGCCGTCAGTTGTATATACTATATAGCTATAGCTTCAACAGTTTCAAGGGGGCGGGCAACATGGAGTACCAGTATGGGAATAGAAAATATACAAAGTACTTGCCCTACTTACTATTTTGAAGATCTTTCAAATGTTCTACACACTCTGTACTGCACTCTATACTGTAGAATGCCTGACTAGATTTTTATTTGATATATATATGTACAGACATACCTACAAAAAGTGGGTTTATGTAATGCATATACTACATACATATTTGTTCCAAATAAATTATGCTTATTACGATTATAGAACGTATAGTTGTGTTTGATTATTTGAGTTATTGATTTGCTGCAACAACTACAACACACACAAATAAAAGATATGTATACATACATATATATTAAATATGCATTATACATGAAACTAATTACAATGCCAATTTTTAAGCTTGCATATAAATTTATACATTTTTTATATACATATAAAGATATTTTTTAGAAACTATTATTAAATGTATATGGAAATGGAAATGGAAAGAAAAGAAAAAACAAGAAACGTAATAACGTTTAATACAAGAAAAAAATGCTTAAAGAAATATAAACAGATATGTGCCATAGGCGCGGCGTGACAAACAAACTTAAACATTGCTAAATAAATGTACTACAAATTTATATGAATAAGTTATATACTAATGAATCAAAAAGCTAAACAAAGAAATGAGAAGAAGGAAAAGGAAAAGGCAGGCAGGTGAAAGCAAAACTATTTCTGGGTGGCAAGCAACACCGACAAATGTTCTCCTCAAAGCATTTTTGCTGGAACAGCAGTAGTCTCTCGAGAAACACACACAATTGAAGTAAATCAAATATCAAATGCAATAAACAATGTGCTAAATATCAATAAATATGCAGCAATCCTAATAAAGTTTATAAATATAAAAAAGAGCCATTAAGCGAGAAAATGCTTTTTTCAAATACAGCCACAGCAGCCACAGACACAACACAAAGACTTCGAAAACATTTAAAAATGAAAGCGTTATTACTTGTAATTGTAATGTAAACCTAAATGATTATGCATAATAACTACAAATTTACAAAAAACGAAAGAAGAACTACAACCACAACAACTACAACTAATTTATTAATAAACACATAAACTAAAACAAAGGGAAAACAAAACAAAACAAAACAAAAGAAGGGAAAGAAATGAAATGAATGGAAGGAAAAACAAAAGATTTTTTGCTGGTTTATATAGTGAACAATGTTGCCATTTGATAAGGTTTTTCCCCCCAAGACATTTGATACTAAACTATATATACATACATACACACACATATGTATGTATATGCATATACATGTACTTTATATTCCGATTTAAATGGAATTTTTTGTAATTTTTATAGAAACATTAAAAGCACATGCAAAACAAAACGAAAACAAAAGCTACATAAAAACAAACAAACAAACTGTGCGAGCAAGTGTTATAAAAAAATATAAAAAAAAACTATGAGAAATAAAATCGACAAATGCCTAAAATCCCAAACAAAAACAATGCGAATAAATTCAATGTGTTCGCCTTTTATTTTCGTATCGGGGCTAATCAAAGCAAATGAGCGCCTCACCTCATACTAAGTGCTTGTGGTTACTATTGGTTGATCTATTTTATTTATTTATAAACCCTATCCTAGCGTTATATGTTATCACATATTTTTTTCTAATTTAATTACAAATTTAACTTTTTTTATTTGACATTAAACATAAGAAATTTTTAATATATATTTTTTTTTGGTATTTTTATTAATTTTTATTATATTTTATTAATTAATTCGTTATTATTATATTTATTTTTATAATTATATTTTGTTTCAAATCTTTTCTTATTTTATGTTATTTATTTTATTTTAAAGCCACTCTTTATTTTTAAGATAGGGTTGGTGTCGAAAGTGATTTGCCTTTCATTTACTTATAGGGGCTGGGGTAAATAAATCCATTGGAATTTTATTTAATAAGGAGTATTTGTTGCCATTTTTAAGAATAGCTCGGCCAACCGATTTGTATAGTAGTCCACTGAATGCCGAAAAAGGCAGATCTAGACTTTAGACAGGGATGGCATAAAACATCCCAACCAAGCTCCCTGAGTTTCCGGAGATTCAATACTGATGTACATATGTATGTACAAGTATGTGGTCTGGCATTGTCCTGGTTAAAAATAAATCCAATTCTGGCACTTATTGGTGATCTATAATAAATTCACGTCGAATTTTCGGGAATGACGAAACCAAAATAATTAGCTGAGACAGTTTCGAGGCCATATACAAGTACATTGTATAAAATTTCAGTCGCTTTTGCTGTATATTCGACTTCATTGCTAAAAAAATTAAATTATAGTGGCTTATGTATCGAATTTTTTTAATATTGCCCAATAAGCCCAAGCATTTATTAAAATATTCCTGTATTAAGGTTGACCACGTCTTTTTATACCCTGTACCCGTAGGGTAAAAAGGGTATATTAGGTTTGTGCAAAGTATGTAACATACAGAAGGAAGCATCTCCGACCCCATAAAGTATATATATTCTTGATCAGCATGATGAGAGAAATCGATCTAGACATGCCCGTCCGTCTGTCCGTCCGTCTGTCCGTCTGGATGAACGCAAGGATCTCAGAAACTATAAAAGCTAGAATAACCAAAGTTGGCACCCAGATTCTCCTAGGTCCGAGTAAGGACGAGTTTATTTTATTTTTTTTAATTTCCCCCCCCCTTCCCCCGCTACAGAATTTCGCCAATAGCGTCCACATTTCAAATGCTACCTAAACCAAACTTTGCACACATAATTTCTATATATTTATCTACTGTTGTTTAAAATTTTATCAAATTCGGTCAATTCTAAGAAAAGTTATTAGCGAAACAAATTCTCGCCAGTACAACCCCCACAAACTGCCGCAACAAGTTCGCTCTTCTTCTTCCTCTTTTTGCTGCTGCTATGGGCGCATATAACTCAGTGACGGAAGTTTACCTGGGTACAGGGTATTACACTGTCGGGCTTGCTCGACTGTAGCGTTCTCTCTTGTTTAATATTACCAGACTCCAACTCAGTTGTGGTTAACTATAAAGTTGTGGTTAAAGGTTGTAATGCCAAGAGGGAACAATTCTTTTAGCTTTTCCATAAAAACGTTAACTGATGCCCTAATGCCGAGAGGATTTAGTTATTCGGAAGAATTTGAATATATATTTGAGTATATATACTTCACCTGAAGTACTATAAATGGTATAAGTATTATGTGGAACAATTAGTTTAATAGGGGAAAACAACTGTTACCGAGTAGATAAAGCCGTATCCGTCTGTGGTCTCTAACCATATGGATTCTTGCATTCATACAGATCGACCGAATAGGAATATGTGTTTAAATATATAGCGGGGGATACTAACGATTGTTTGGATAAAAGTTACTTAAGATTGGAAATTTGTAGACTGATTCGGGAATTGATGTCTTTAAGAATAGATGTAGAGCCAAACCTTAAGTTAAATACTAGATTTTGTAAGAAACGACTTAGTTGAAAATGCATTTAAATTGAACTATTGATGAAAACATTGGAACTATGTTATATTTTTTAATGATACTAGACTACTTTATAAGTTTTTAAAGGATAGACCGCTTCGTAAGTATTTTAGGAAGTCAGTCAGAAGGAATGTAAACCAAATATTTAGCATGATAGGGTTTGGCGTTTTCATGGAACTGTGGCATATGATGGTCTTGATGAGGGATTCCCTGCCCTCGGGGCCAATTTAGATTATTGAAGCGAACCAC